TCATTAAAAAAATATAAATAAATTGAGTTTCATATTTTGAAAAATTTGTCATTTAAGGTGAGCAAAATGACTCATTTTATTTCGATTTGAATCGTTGTTTTTTTTCAGTTACGCTTCTCTAAACCATTGGAAAATCATTGACACCAATTTCAATGATTTTTTTTTTTCAATTTTTTTTTGGGGTACAAAATGAAATTTGCGGACCATTAGTTTTATAAAAGCGTTTTAGATTTGCCATGGATTTTTTTTTTTTTTGGAGCTTGGCTCTATTAATGATTTCGTTTAGTTGTCGTCGTCGCCGTAGTTTTTTGTCAATTATTTATCTGTGGATTTTGCACGAAAATTGTTCAATTAAAAATGAAAAATCACATACGATTTGTTATTTTTGGAGTGAAGAGGCAAAGGAGGGAATTTTATTACGAATTGTAATGGTAGTGTTGCTTGGTGATATTTACGCTTCATATTTTTTTTATTTGAGAAAAGTTTCCAGCTTTGCAAAAAAACTAAATTTCCTTAAAAAGCCATAACCACATGAGTTTGGAAATCACTATTTTTTTTTATTCTATTTTTAGCTAAGAATATTTTTTCTTTGGTAACTACAGTTAAGCCACTGAAAAAAAATCTCAATTTCCAGTTGATATTAAGTCAAACTTCTCTCCTTATTTTATCAAAATTTTGTAAACACCTCAGAGGTTCCCCTGTCTAGCCTTAGCAGATTTTATGCTACGATTGTGGACTTCGATAACCATATTTGGAGTTTCTATTAAACACCTTTGATTTTTATGCTTGATTTAGAAATCCAGTTTTTTTTTCGTTAATTTATTTAATTCGAAATTTGTTGTTAGCTCTAGTGGTTGGTTGGTGTTGGTATTTATACCCTACAACACTATGTGTTGGGGGTATTATAAGTTTGATTGGGCCAAAAATTATGTAACACCACGAAATATTGGTTTCCCATATAGGAAAGTATATATGGATCATCCTAGCTCGCCGAGCTGAGTCGATCTAGCTATGTATGTCCGTCCGTCCGTCTGTCCGTCTGTCCGTCTGTCCATGTTAATTTGTAATCACTCTACAGGTCGCAATTATGGCCCGATCTTCACGAAATTTGGAATGGAGGTCGGGGTTGGGCCAGAATAGAACCCTATTTCTTTTTGAGATGATCGCCAAATGTTTAGGGGTTGAAATGGACCAAATACTGAAAAAATGTCGGATTTTTCAGTAGCTATACAGGTCGCAATTATAGACCAATCAACGCGGAATTTCGCATGTAGCTAGAGTTTAGGACGGGGAAGAAGCCTACCAATTTGGGTGGTCATCGGATAATATTTAGCGGGTAAAATAGACTATATATTTTGTGTTGAAAAAATTCAAAATTTTTCATTAAACCGCGAATATTTTAAATCCCGGCGAAATCCCAAAGCCATGACAAGGTTGCTTCTAACCTTTACATTGATGTTAACATCCAACAAATCGGATATATAGCAAAATATGTGCGATACATATGTCTATCAAAGAAGATATGCTTGGAAAATCTCTTATATGTCGAGAACGGCTGAACTGATTTCGACAGTTCTCATTAATTCAGAATGGCCTCTTGGCTGGAAAGAAAAAACGTCTAAAAAATCGCATAAAAATATCTCTCTAAAGATGAAAATATTGATTTTCTAAAATTTTCTCATATTTTTTCAATTTTGTCATATTTTTGGCATATTTTCATTTTGAATTAAACATTTGGTAATATTTCTACAGCTAACAAAACTAAGTAGTTATGACATCAGAATATCATATACAGATCGCATTTATGGCCCGATCCTTACGAAATTTTGCATGGGGATAAGATGAGGGTCAGAATAGAAGCCTACTCTTTTTGGAGATGATCGCCATATATTTAGGGGTTGAAATGGACCAAAAAACAGCAAAATTGTCAGCAGGTCGTAATTATCGCCCGATCATCATGCACATTTGAAAGGGGGTTACCGGACATTGCAAAAGCCAAGCAGTTTTGGATGGCCATCCAAAAATATTCAATGTGTGAAATAGTTTGCCAACTTTTGTAGACGAAATACGAAAATGTCGATTCCAGTGACTTTTTGGAGAATTCACAAATACAGGAAAAACGCACTTCTGACTATTTCGTTAACGCTGATTTCGTTGAAGAATATAGTCAAATGTCTGTATCTCATATAGATGCGTTTCAGTCAAAAACCAATAATAAATGTTAATCTTTTGCCACTTCTAGGAGACTATAGGTCTTTGAGAAATATTGGTTCCAGATCTAGGAAGACCGTTTACGTGCAACATCTTCCAATAAATTGGAAATGAGCAAATTAGTTTAAGTTGCTACTATTCGAAAATTAGAGAACGAAACCTGATGGTTTTCTTTTATAATTTGTCACAATATCTTGTGGAATTCTTTCGAGTATCTCGCCTATATAAACTGTATCGTTTATTATAGTGTTGTAGGGTATTCAACGGTCGGCCCCGCTCGACTGTAGCCTTTGCTTACTTGTTTTTTTTTTTTAATTTTCATTTTCATTCATAATTTGACTTGATTGCTTTTATTGATATTTAAACGGAATCTGGTTTTCCAACAGCAAAAGGGTGAACATTTTGGAACGAAAAGAATAGAGAAATTAAAAACAGGGTTCGATAAAATATTTAGAAAACGAGTTCTGCTGATGGCCACCAGATCTATATTTCCATTGAAATCATTAACACATAGAAAAGCTGAGGGATCAGCTGATCTATACGGCTATATATATCAGCTGATCCATACGCCCGTAGAACAGCTGATAAATTAACTGATCCATTCGCGCATAGAACAGATAAATCCATCATCTGTTCTGCTGCTCTCAATTCGTCCATAGAACAGCTGATTGATTTCAGTTTGTCCATAGAACAGCTGATGATCTCAGCTGCTCTCCGTTTAAGGAACAGTTGATAATCTCAGCTGCTCTCTCTCTTTTCATAGAACAACGGATGATCTCATTTGCTCTCTCTGTTCATAGAACAGCTGATGATCGTAGCTGCTCTCTCTGTTCATAGAACAGCTGATGATCTCAGCTGCTCTTTTCGTCCATGGAACAGCTGCTTGATCAGCTGCTCTCTATGTTCATAGAATAGTTGATGATCTCAGCTGCTCTTTTGATGATCTCAGCTGCTCTCTTGATGATCTCAACATCTCTCAAAGAACAGCTGATGTTCTCAACTGCTCTCTATTCGTCCATAGAACAGCTGATGTTCTCAGCTGCTCTCTATTCGTCCATAAAACAGCTGATGGATCAGCTGCTCTATATTCGTCCATAGAACAGCTGATGTTCTCAACTGCTCTCTATTCGTCCATAGAACAGCTGATGTTCTCAGCTGCTCTCTATTCGTCCATAGAACAGCTGATGTTCTCAGCTGCTCTCTATTTGTCCATAAAACAGCTGATGGATCAGCTGCTCTCTATTCGTCCATAGAACAGCTGATGGATCAACTGCTCTCAGTTCGTCAATAGAATAGCTGATGGATCAGCTGCTCGAAATTCGTCCATAGACATTGGCTTACTTTTTTTTCTCAATCTCGATTCAATATTTTCCTTCCATCTGTGTTTCCCGACGATATTATACCCTCCACCTTAGTGTGGAAAATATATTAAGATTGTCACTCCGTTTGTAACACCTTGAAATATACATTTTAGAACCCATAAAGTATTATATTCTTGATCAGCATAAAATTCTACGTAGATTAAGCGATGTCCGACCATCTGTTCGTCTATGAAAATCACTCTAGCTTCCGAACGGAATGAAGTAGGTTTATAAAATTTTGCTCAAATGTATATTATGTCTGCAGGATTATTGGTATTGAAAGTGGGCAAAGTAGGTCCACGTCTTCGTATAGCCCCCATAAAACGGTACCTCCCCATATTCGGTATTTTGATGATTTTAGCGACATTATTTACCTGAAATGTTTCAAATTTGGTATTTGAAGTTCGCAATGAATACTACAGCCTATGACAGAAAATTGTCTGTGCAGGTCCACGTTTCGGTATAGCCCCCATATAGTGGTACCACCCGATATTCGGTATTTTAATGATTTTAGCGACATTATTCACCGGATTTGTTTCAAATTTGGTATTTGAAATTCCAAAGGGATACTACAGCCTATGACAGAAAATTGTCTGTGCAGGTCCACGGCTTCGTATAGCAGCCATATAATGGCACCTTCACCGATAATCGGTATTTTGATGATTTAAGCGACATTATTCACTCGAATTTTTCACGTTTGGTATTTGATGTTCGTAATGGGTACTACAGCCTGAGACAAAAAATTGTCTGTGCAGGTCCACATCTTCGTATAGCCCCCATATAACGGTACCTTCCGATATTCGGTATTTTGGTGATTTTGGTTACATTATTCAACGGAATTGTTTCATTATTCACCGGAATTTGGTATTTGAAGTTCGTAATGGATACTACAGCCTAGGACAGAAAATTGTCTGTGCAGATCCACGTTTTGGTATAGCCCGCATATAGTGGTACCTTCCTATATTCGGTATTTTCATGATTTTAGCTACATTATTCACCGATGTTTTTCTAGTTTGGCATTTGAATATTGTCGTGGCTTATGACAAAAGTTGCAGGTCCACGTCGTCAGATTTCATTTTTTTTTTTAATTGTAGAATTCTTTCCAAATATTGGAGGATTTTCAAAATTCGGCACAAACTTACAACTTTTATTTTTATTTGGAAAAAATTTAAATTCAGCTGGGTGCACCCCATAAAATCCCATCCTCACACAATATTCCAATAAATATTTATATCTGCTGACCACCCATTAAGAATTTAACTGAGAAGTGTAGACAAAAAATAAATAATAAATCAAATAAATTAGGCAAATGGAAAGATGGGTGGATCGATAAATTCTGCTGTGAAATTTGAGTAATTTCCTACCCCAGAGACTCGCAAAGGGAGTGGTAAAATTAAAACCAAAAGGAATGGGGATAAACAAACTTACGTAAATTGGTTTGGGCTGGCCTTTTGTGGTAATTCGTATGCAAATGCAACTTACCTGAAATGAGAGGGAGAGAGAGAGAGGGGAGAGAAGAAAAAATATTAAATAATTTTTCAAACAAAAAGTAAAACTACTCTAGTTTTTAAAATTTCAATATAAATAGGAGAGATCATAAACAAAGATACAAAAATTTGGAAGACAATACAATAATGAATCAAAACTTCACCCTTGGATATTGTCTCCAAAATGCAGCCTCCCATGAAGCTTTAAAAAAAAACCCAATCACAAAGACCAACCAAAAATCCATGATTTATAGGGTGACATATTTTGTTGTTGTCCAAATTAATATCCCACCACCGATTGGGCTCATTTATTAAAACACATAACCACCACCGTATCATTAAATCTTAATTTCCGTATAATTTCTATTGTCTTTGGCAACAATTCCAGAAAAAAACCGCTCAATTTTGGAATTTTTGTTGAAACAAATAATTTTTTTTGCCTCTCCATTGTTAGCTAATTATGAATTTTGTCACCAGGGATTTTTCGAAAAAAAACCCACCGTTAACACCCTTACCATTTAATTTGTTTATAATTTATTGAATCTAAATTATAACCTGTCTGTGATTTCTTTTTATTTTTTGAGAAATTCCATGAAATTTGGCGACTCTTTTTTTCTCTTTTTTTTTTTTTTTTTGAATCGTTGGCTAATTTTGCAAAGAAAGATTAATGAAAATAACAAAACAAAACCTCACAAGCGACCAACGGGGGGAATTAAATATTTTTCAAAACCAGTAGCATTAAAATATATAATAAGTATATATTGTTGATGATGATGATTTCTTATTTTGTTGGTTGTTTTTTTTTTCCTCTTCAAATTATAATTTAACAATGAGATGATGATTAGGGGGTATTCAAAACTTTTTGTTGGTACAGTACAAGGTACAAGCCAATGGAACAATTGAGCCATCAGCTTTTCTATGGGGAGCCTACAGAGTAGCTGAGCCGTCAGCTGTTCTTTAGGGAACCTATAGAGCCGCTGAGCCCTCAGCTGTTCTATAGGGAACCTATAGAGCCGCTGAGCCCTCAGCTGTTCTATAGGGAACCTATAGAGCCGCTGTGCCCTCAGCTGTTCTATAGGGAACCTATAGAGCCGCTGAGCCCTCAGCTGTTCTATAGCGAACCTATAGAGCCGCTGAGCCCTCAGCTGTTCTATAGGGAACCTATAGAGCCGCTGAGCCCTCAGCTTTTCTATAGGGAACCTATAGAGCCACTGAGCCGCCATTGGGAACCTATAGAGCAGCTTAGACCTTATCTGTTCTATAGAGCATCCACCGAGCAGCTGGGCCCTCAACTGTTCTATGGGAACCCTAAGAGAGCAGCTGAGCCCTCAGCTGTTCTTTAGGAACCCTCAGCTGTTATATGGGAGCATCAATAGAACAGCTGAGCCCTCAGTTATTCTATACAGCGTGAGATGAAAAAAACTGCAAACAACTTCAGACTGCTGTCATTTCTAAGCCACTCGTCCGACAGCTGTTAAAATTATACCCGTGACAGCTGATTACATTGTTTACAAGCGTACAAAAGCATTTTGGTGAGAATTTTCCAGAAAAAAAGATATTCGTGATGGAATTCAAGCGTGATAGTGTGATTTCCTCATATTTGGCTGGAAAACCAAAAATGGATATCCGTAGAGCACTCCAGCATTTAAATGTGAATAAACCTTTTATGTCTTGTACCATCGCTCGTTACCGTGATACTGGTAGGGAAGCCCGACGTCAAGGATGTGGACGGAAGGAAACAGCAACATCAGCAGAAATGGTTCGAAGAAAGTAAAGAAGCGTCCTGATGGAAACCCCCGTCGCAGTGGCCGAAAAATGTCACGCGAGCTGAACATATCGCAATACTCCATTCGGCAAATATTGAAAAATAAGCTATGGGGTAAAGCTTCTGAAATTCCAAAAAGTGCAAGAACTTACACCGCAACGGAAAGAAAATAGACTCAAAAGAGCTAAAGAGTTGCTTGGCCGAAAGTGGTGAACTTCCAGCAGTTTGTAAACAAACAAAATGAGCGCGTTTACCTGCCAAAGAGGTCAGCTGAAAATGTGCACCTTCGGTTGGCTACCAGAACTTAAGCGCCGACCATGGTGAGGGTGTGGGCTGCCATAACAGCCGATGGCTTACGATCTCCGCTCGTATTAATCGACCGTGGCATCAGAATATTCGGCATTTATTATTATCGCAAAAATATTCTGGGCACGCAAACAATGTAGCTGCAGACCTTGGACATTCCAAGAGGACTCAACACCACCGCACTCAGCACGCCACCTCCACCCAAAGAATGTTTACAAAATGAGGTTCCTCGCTTCATTTCTGCTTCCAGCTCACATCCGTTGGACTATTGTGTCTGGAGTATTTTGGAAAGCAAGGTTGACACTAAAAAATACCAAAGTGTCGATCACCTCAAGCAAGTGCTTCGCCGGGAATGGGCCAAAATACCGCAGAGCGCAACATTCGGGCAGCGTGTGACGGTTTCATTGGTCATCTGAAGGCAATAGTTCGTGCCAAAGGTGACCAATTCGAAAAAATTGAAACTTATTCTAAAATTTGATGTAATTTCCGACATTTTTTGCTTTCATTGCACTTAGCACGTGCTACCCAGGAATGGTTACAAAATAAGGTTTCTCGCTTCATTTTCAGCGCTCAATGGCCAGCAAAATCTCTGGATACCAATCCGTTGGACTATTGTGTGTGTCGGTTTCATTTGCCGTTTGAAGGCCATAAATCGTGCCAAAGGTGACCAATTGGAACACATCTAAGCTTATTCTAAAATTTGATGCTATTTCCGGCATGTTTTGCTTTCATTCAATAAAATTTAAAAAAAAAAAATTAAAAATTATGGCATTTGGCTTTGTTGCAGTTTTTTTGTTATCTCACCCTGTAGGGCATCTATGGAGTAGCTGAGCCCTTAGCTGTTCTATATGACCACATCTTGTAATATATTTTTAGACCTGTCAATCTTTCAGCAGATTTTTCATTGACCAAAGATACCAAAAACAACAACAACAACAAAATAAATGTCATCTTATCAAGTGTCGAACTCTGGCAAATGCCAAGTAAAATATTTACAAAGTTTTTTTTTTTAAGAAAATTAAAAAAAGATTCTAAAATGAAAATTTACACATTCGAATGGGATGGTTGACTGGCAGACACCCGAACCGCACACACAGACACACATTATTTGGTTCACATTCACATTTTCCACACCCTGTTTATTTTAGCAAACATTTCAACAATTTCCTCTACCTATCCTCTACATTCTAGATCAACAAAAAAAAAAAAAAAAAATAAAAAAAAAAAAAACGAAAACTAACAAAAAAAGATGACAATTTATTTCTAGAAAAACAAATTACATTAAAAACTTTCGATGAAGCAATGGCTGGCTGTCAGGCTGGCGGTCGATCAGTCTGGCCGTCTGTGAAGAAAATGGCCAAGAATAGATGAGGAGACATTTGGTTAGTTTTTCGTTGTTGGAAAACAAGTGAAATTTATAGCCATGCTGATCATGTCAGAGCCTTTGGCAACAAAGAGACAATTTTTTTTCTGAGGTTCGGTAATTGCCAAGAAAAACAGTTTTGCAAAACAAAGCCGCAGCACAAACAGCAACAACAATGGAAATGATGCATAGAGTGTGGCATCATCAGAGCAGACTCATGAGGATCATCATCACCATCATTAGATGCAACACAATCTTAAAAAGTGATATTTTCGATTTTTTTTTTTTCGTAGACTGGTCTATTTTTATAGCCCAACTGTCTGTGGTCTGACAAAATAGACTTTCGATATGTGAATGTATTTTTATGCCAGACAGTTTGCCTCTTTTAATTACAACAACTAACAACAAAGAAACCCAAACAGTCTGATGTCTTTTGGGGTAACCTAAAATGGTGCCTTTCTAGCGCTGATGATGAGATTTGGTGGTGGTGGTGACTGTACACAACAAAAATATATTTCCTTATGTTCTGAAAGGTTATGCAGGTTTTTGATTTGCCATCCCATAAAGGCGGATGAAGGCCACCCACCCCATCAAAGGCCTCGATATTAACAGCATAACCAGTTATATTCAAAGATGAAGATTCGAAGTCAAACCAATGTTCAACTTGGAGACTAGGTTAAAAGAGAACAAGTAGAAAAGCTTTAAGTTCGGCCGGACCAAATTGGCAATTTCAAAAAAAAAAAATTTCAAAAAAATAAAATCCGTTAAAAATTCTGTTAAAATTATAAAAATACCGAAAGTAGCCCTGTATTACGTACGACGACGTGGACCTGCATTGGTAACTTTTCAAATGCATATTCAAATGCGAAACTTAAAAAAAATCTGATCATAATGTAGCTGAAATCATCAAAATACCGAATATAGGGAGGTACCATGGGGTTTATAAAACGTGGACCTGCACAGACAATCTCCTGTCATAGGCTGTAGTATACATTACGAACTTCAAATACCAAATTTGAAACAATTCTGGTGAATAATGACGCTAAAATCATTAAAATATCGAATATAGGGAGGTACCGTTATATGGGGACTATATGAAGACGTGGACCTGCACAGACAATTTTCGGTCTTATGCTGTAGTATCCATTACGAACTTCAAATACCAAATTTGAAACAATTCTGATTAAAAATGTCCATAAAATCATTAAAATTCCGAATATCGGGAGGTACCGTCATATGGGGGCTCTACAAAGACGTGGACCTGCACAGACAATTTTCTGTCTTAGGCTGTAGTATCCATTACGAACTTCAAATACCAAATTTGAAACAATTCCGGTAAATAATGTCGCTAAAATCGTTAAAATACCGAATATCGGGAGGTACCGTTATATGGGGGCTCTACGAAGACGTGGACCTGCACAGACAATTTGCTGTCTTAGGCTGTAGTATCCACTACGAACTTCAAATACCAAATTTGAAACAATTCCGTTGAATAATGTCGCTCAAATCATCAAAATACCGAATATCGGGAGGTACCGTTTTTTGGGTTCTATACGAAGAT